TCAACCTCTAAGACGTTTGCATTGCAAGTATTGTGATTTTATGCTATAACCTGAAACTGTACACCATCCTGTAACACTATGTGGGATCCTTAATACTGATGCTACAAGTGCCTACAGCCATACATGTGTGAACAGTGGGTGAAAACCGTTTATAAGCACTATACAGTAGATGTGTGTGAATATTGACCACACTGGGAATAGGATAAATAATGTTGCAGTTTACTGATTAGATGATTGGGTATGCACTGTTTTTTTTTTTTTCTTTTTTCTGTGAAGCCTGGAACAATGACTTGTACTTTGTCAGGATAGATGCTTCACTTCTTTATTAAATGGGTCATTGTGATTAATCAAGTGCTGATGTAATGTATGGAGCTCTGCCAAGAAGTGAATATAAAATGCCTTAGATGACCTATATGAGGAGAATTGTTTATTGTACTCTTGTTTTTCTCTCATGTTAACAATTGTATGAAATGTTTACTAATAAGCCTACAGAAAAGTGTTTGTGTATTATTTTTGTTTGATAAGTTACTAATAAACCAGTTTCTCTTTGTTTTTGTTCATATCTTAGTTTCCTCTTGTTTCTATGTAATTTGATAGAGTTTATCTGCTTTAGCTGAACATAATTATCTGTAATATGCCAACAGGAACATTTTTAATTAGTCATTTAGATCATTCTTTTTGGGGCTCTAGGCTTATTTCTTCATCAGAGGTCCAAATATACCAGCTTTTAACTAAAACTCATTTGATGAAATATTTTTTTCCTGCATAAGGTTGTTAGCCATTGATTGTCTAATGAATTGCAAAATATGACGTCACCTAAACAGTCTTTAGCCTTATAAATCCTGCTTAATGCAGGGCTGTATGTACTTTTTAGCGTATTTTATAGTATAAGTCCAAATGTTCCATTTTGATTTTATTTTTTCTGGGATCAGGCTTTAAATATGAAACCTGAAATCCAGACTTCAACATATATTTGGTCCAAATGGATGCATGGATGTGCTTAAAAAGTATTTGAAAGGTTGGGTGAGATGCAGAATAGAAAAATTAACAGCTAAATTAACAAAGGAATGGATGAAACGGGTCGAATGTATAATTTGACTAAAGGGGGAGAACTGGACTGAACAGTAGAATGAATAAACTAATGTATAAACTGCATATAGGTGCATGGATGGATTCATGGCCAAAGTGATTAAAGGATGGATGGATTTAAGAATAGATCAGTGAATGGAAAGATGGGTTTATAGATAATAAAGATGGATGAATACATGACTGGATCATGAATTTGTTTATTTAGCACAATAGCTGAGCAAAGATGATGCATGAATAGGGGGGAAAACAAAACCCATCCATCCATCCTTTTTCTATCACGCTTTTTTCCCAGCTGGGGCCGCGAGGGGTGCTGGTGCCTATCAACAGCTGTCTGGAGAGTGAGGAGGTTCACCCTGGAGAGGTCGCCAGTCCACTGCAGGGCAACACAAAGACAGTCAGGAAAAAAAAAAAACATGCACACTCACACCTAAGGAGAATTTAGAGAAGCCTATTAACCTAACAGTCCTGTTTTTTGGACTGTGGGAGGAAGCCAGAGTACCTGGAGAGAACCCACGCATGCACAGGGAGAACATGCAACGAACAAAGGACTTTCTTGTTGCAAGGTAGCAGTGCTACCCACCGCGCCACTGAGCAGCCCCTGGAAAGAAAAACTCTTCAAGAAAATGTACAAAACCCAGTTTTATGATACGTAAATAGCTTATGAAAAAAAAAGAAAAATGAACGGATCTCTCCAATGTCCCAGAATTGTTTTGGGGGGTTTTTTGTATCCCCATACTTTTACAAATCTGGAAAATCTTCAGATTCTTTCTATTTCAAGCCTGAGGGAAAAAAAAAAAAAAATTAGTAAAGATTAAATAATTTGCTGTTGCATTTGGTGAATTCTACCTTCATAAGCAGTTAAAGATGTTGGTAGAAACTGTCTTTGCCGTAAATATTAATATTACTAAACTAATGGAAATAGGCCTTCCTCTGTTTTTTTTTTCTTTCTTTTTTTGGTGATTTGCATCAATAAGTCTTAGTGAAACACAGAAGACATGGTGTAGGTGGGAATATAAGCTTTGTTGTATGCTGGATAGTTTACTGCACTTATAAAAAGAAACATGGATCCTACATTCCGATGTTTGATCAATCCCTCCTTATTGATGGGTCTTTTAACGAGCTCTTTCATACTCCTACACTCCCTCGGGAAGGCAGACTTGCAACAGCTAATTAATGACTGGAGAGGGAGAAATTTAGGTCACAATAGGGCTTGGAAAAGGACAGCGAAGTAAGAGGCACTCGTCTGGATCGATTTATCACTTGGAAGGCAGAAAACGGGGTGAAAGAGTGCAGGCTTCTTGGAAATTAGAGTCCTGACAAAAAAGTCAAGGTTGACAGTGAACAAGAAGAGCCTCAGAGCCAGCAGACAATGACACCATCTGGACTAAATAATTGTGACAAGCAACAAGACATTAGGAGAAGCATTTATGGGGAAAAACAAGGAGAAGCTTCTGACCTTCAACAGATTAGCTCTTCCATTTATTATTGGTCTTAAGTCCACATGCAATACATTATATTATGCATAACGCTTTACCACTCTCCCTTCTTCCCCATGGGTTTCTTTCATCTGTCCTTTGCTGTCTACTTTATTGGAAAATGGGGACAAAAAGGGAATTTAACAGGTAAGTGGGTCATCATTTGTTACTGTGGTAAAAGTGTCTCTGTGATGTACAAAAAGAGCGTCCTTATGGGGTAGTTCGCCACAAATACAAATCATTTGAAGGGCTCCGGAACAGTCTAAATTAAATTAGTGATATTACATAAAACAGCTCTGTCATGAAGGACAGAGCCAAACTATATCCACAACCCACTCTAACAAGCCTAGCAGGACATCTTATAACTAAAACCTTGAGTTTAATTGATCAGCAATAGTTTTTTTTAAGGCTACTCAGAGTTCTTCAGGACTATTAGTAACTATTAGTATCAATAAGATTCTGTTTCCCTTAGACTATAACAATGGCTTGCTGTAGGGACTGATATTCCGAACTGGAAAGACAGGCGCTCATGCCATTAAAACATGGCAGTTGCCTAAGGCTGCATATTTCTTTAAGATTTGACTGTG